CGCTTCACTCCTTGCATGAACTTGCTCACAAACAGCACAGCAAATGGCACTTCACCAACTGCAAGCTGTTGTGATTATCTAAGGTCGCTCACTGGCACAGGAATGGATTGCCTCTGTCTCATTGTCACTGCAAGCGTTCCCTTCCAACTACCCATCAACCGATCACTGGCGATTTCTCTTCCTCGTGCCTGTAACATGCCCGGCGTCCCAGTCCAATGCAGAGGTACAACTCCTAACTTTCTTAAAAATTGACAACATAGAACAAATAAATGTCATTAACCATGAGATCAAAGTTCAAATCTCCATCTCCATATTACTTTTTGGAAACTTCTTCAATTTGATCCATTTCTGAACGAGAAAATTGATAACTTGGTGTTTGTTTGGATTCTTTTTGCAGCCTCTGCTGCTCCTATTCCAGCTCCAGGTAATATGCTTTTCTTCAAAGAGTGACAAGACTGATGTTTTTATGGGGAGGAGGAGGATGATGACAGTTTTTTTGGTATGTTTTGATAGGTCCTATCTCACTTGGTCCAGCCCTCTCTCCTGATGCATCACCAACTCCACTAGGTACATATTTCACACTTAAGCTTTGAGTTTGAAAAACTTGTGTTGATCTCCAAATGCTTTGCATTTCTTGATTAGGTTCTGGCATCCCTCAACCTGCCACGCCTGCACAGTCACCGGAAGCAGACACCACAGAGTTTCTAACTCCGCCTGAAACTCCGACCACAACCACTGATGCCGGGACTGGGATTTCACCTGAACTGACTCCGTCATCTGCTACAATATCCACTTACAACTTCTATCTTCTGGGATTGGCATTGAGTTGTATGGTTTCGAAGCTATACTAGATTGCTTATCCAATATCTGTTGATTTATTGGTTCCAACAAAAAATAACAAAGAACTGTTTATTTATTTGTAATTGTGGGGAGTTATTCTTTTGAGTTTTGAGTGGAATAGTTGTTTGATTAGGTTTTTGGGCTTTGAGTTGGTTCAGAGGAGTGACTGCTTGTATACCTAAAAAGCAGACATACCGAGAATTGTTTGTTACTTTGTTATAATCGATTTAAGTTCTTCATTTTATTGCTTTTCCCACATAAATTAAAATAGTTTGGAGTCTATTACGATAATAGTTAAACCTCAAGCACTATCATCGCCCTAAACAAATAGTGCTAGAAATGTGAGTCGCTAGCTTTTCAAGTGATTTCTAAGATGGTTGGTAAGAAATGTGAGTTCTAAGATGATTTGTAAGAAATGTGAATTCTAAGATGATTTGTAAGAAAGGTGAGTTGCTAGCTCTTTAAATCACTTTTAGGATAGGTAAGATCTCGGGTCAATTGGGGAGGAAAACAAAACTTCTTTTATAAGGGTGTGGAAACTTCTCCCTATCATATGCATTTTTTCCCCCTCAAAGCAAAGGTCAAAGAGGACAGTATCTGCTAGCAGTAGACTTGGGCTGTTTATAAATAATATCAAAGCCAGACATCGGGCGGTGTGTTAGCAAGGATGTTGAGCCCTGAATAGGGAGTGGACATCAAGCAGTGTGCCAACAAGGATGCTAAGTCTCATAAGGGGGATGGATTTGTGAGATCTCACGTCGGTTGGAAAAGAGAACGAAACATTCTTTATAAGAGTGTGAAAATCTCTCACTAGCACACTCGTTTTAAAAAACTTGAGGGGAAGCCTAGAAGGGAAGTTCACCCAAATAGGATTGGCTTTTCAGATTCTAACTTAACAAAGAAAAAACTACCAACAATTCTTTGTGAGGCCAACCTAAATATGAATGTATTCATAAATAGCACCTTTGAACTTCAGTACAGCAGATGATAAATCAATCTATAGTTCAGATTGTGTTCACGTTAACCACAGCATTACTCTATCAGACTGTCTGAAACAAGAGCAGAAGAGGGTGTATTTTACCCATACAAAGTAAAAAAGACAGAAAGAAAAGCAAACCTCTGCTGATATAACATTTAAATCTTAAGCTGAAGGAACGCTAGCTCCATCCTTGATGGATTGACGCCAAGCAACCTCCCTAGCTCCATTCTTGTCTACAATTTTGATAACGAAGTTCGGTGGGGCCACAACAAGCCTGGACCTGATCTCAAGTATGCATTTATCAACCAAATCAATAGCTTCTTCTTCTGTCATACCACTATGGTAGTGTCTATCCATCATGGAGAGTGAAAAGTAAGATCCATAACCAAAAGCTCCCTTGTCAACCTTGTGAAGGGTGGCAATATAGTCAATGTAAAACAGGGATGGTCCTGTCTCCTTGTCATATCCCGCCAAAAGAATGTTCACAGAATATGGATTCTGAAAATCAAGAACTCACAATTGAAATCAGGAGACAGTTACAGCTCATTCAAAGATACAGCTAAATGCAGGATTACAAGAAGAATAGTGGATCACTTATTATTATGTTCTAAGCACAAAAACCAAATTACACAGTAAAACTCCTCTTTTATGGGCTCGTTATTCACACGAGTTCTACATCGAGCCTAGCTTATCCTTAATGAACAAAGACTTGTGCCCCAGTGGCTAAAAACTTAGTTGTAGTGGTGAAACATGATAATTGGTACTTTGAGAAGCAGACAACTCAGTAAGAGACGTCACCCTTGTGCACGCTAGGGGAGCAAGATCAAGGAAGATTTCATAGAACTAGACATAAGAGTGTACATTTGTAAACACGAACCAGCGTTCATGAAAGTCATTAGTATTCTATGCAGTCATCACCACATCACATGCCATACCATTTTAAAGCCAACCCGATCTCGCCCACCAACACATCAAATTACATTCGAACACATTTCTAGCAGAATTTAGTGAAATTAAATGAGGTTACAAGGACTATCTACTAATAATGGGATTGAGCTGTTACAAATGGTATCAGAGCCAGACATCGGGAGGAGTGCCAGCGAGGCACTGGCCACCAAGGGAGTAGATTATGAGATCCCATATCGGTTGGAGAAGGGAACAAAACATTCCTTATAAAGGTACGAAACATTCATTATAAGAGTGTGAAAACCCTTCTCTAACAGCAGCATTTTAAACCCTTCCGGGGAAGTCCTTAAAGGGAAAACTCAGAGATGACAATATCTATCGGTAGGCTTGGTTCTATTTCTCAGGCAAGAAGTAGAGTACAATACATAAGCTCATCATTGTTAACTTTCTGAATTATGAAATGCCATCCCTAATACTAAGAAATGAACCAATAGGATGATGATAATAGCAAGACGAAACATGATATAAGAGAAATACATGAACTTTGGCCTGCCTACACTCAACACAGCTGGATACAAGAACAAAAACGCAAATCAAAGTGTTTAACATACAACATCCGGAGATGGTTATCGGTCTAGTTTCTTTCCATTGTGAGGCATCCTTCAAGATGACAGAAAGACAGAAATCAAGGGGTTTCGAAAAAAACAAACCAAGACAATATTCCCTCGCTCTGTAAACATTTGAACAGTTCTAAGCTCCACAAACTAGTAAAAGTTAGATTGAAGACAAAACTATTCATACTTCATCATCACGATGAATTATTAGAACCGCTTAAAACAACCCCCATGATCCAAAGTTCCCAAAACTTAAAAGGTTGAAAATGTAGTCAAATAAAAGTTTTAGTAAGAAGAAATGATATTACCTTCCGCAAGGCGGTTGCGAGTTCACCGCGAGTAAAATTAGCAGCAGCAGCAGAGGTCAGAGGGATACCATTGCGAAACTGATACAAAGCCACATTCTTCTGTATATACTCCGTGAACTGAACCCTATCGAATCACAGTCGAAAGAAACACATAATTAACAAAAGGCAAACGATTAGAGAAGAAACAAGATTTCCATCAACAAAAACCTCAAACCTGTCGCCAGGTTCGCCGCTAGCTGCAACGAGCTTGTGGGAATCGAGAACCATGATCTTGTCCTCGTTGGATTTATGAACCAAAATACTATGCACCGCCGATGTGTCAGCCGCCACTATGACGAATCCGTTGCCAACAAATCCAAATACGCTCTCCATTTCTCTTCTTCGTTCTTCTTCTTGAAATCGATCTGGTTTTTACAAAGCTTATGTGAAATTCGGGAGAGCCCCCCTTCTGAAATTATATGCTTTTACAGCAGCGACTTGAAGAACAAGTTCTCTCACTCTTAAGAGGCTTTTTCATTTTACATTTTTATTTTTCAAAATTTGGATTTAAATTATTTTCTTTTTCTAATTTTCTTCCTTCCCTTTTTTATTAATTTATTTTGTAACCCAAAAATAAAAATAAATGCATAGAAAAAGGCAAAAACACATTTATTTATTTATTATTATTTATTTATAGATTTTTACACCGGAAGAAAGCAACCGCCTTCTTAAGAGCTAAAACTCCACAGAAAAAAAAAAAAAAAAAA